TTTTTTTTTTTTGAAAAATAGCCGTTGGGCCCGCCAGGCCCGCCTGCGATAACTTATATATTGCAGTATTTCTACTATATATAAGTGAATAAGGGTGTACGAACACTGCTGTTACTTATTGTACCAACAACTACTAGATGGTACTGTATACTTGGACCCATCTGATTGGATCAATAACACGTGTAGCGCTCCTTTTCTCTAAGCAAACCACACGTACCCGTGATTATTTGTTCTTCTTTCATCTACGATTTCTCCGATGCCGCCTCCCCCGCCCCAGATGTGTTGCGTCGAGCAACGGCGTTGTTTCAGAGTTCTTTGAAATTCCAAAGGCAATACACCCTGAAATTTTCCCTCCTCTTCTTCATTATCCACAAAAGATCACAAATCTGTACCAGGCGATGTACCAATAAGAGTTTTTACTATAAATGAAAATGTACCTTATTTAGAGTTCCCCTATTATATAAAGTGGACCTCAATCATTTGTAACATCATCCAACCATTGACGAAGAATATACTATCTTACTTTTTCGCTCATTATTCATCAGAATTGTCTTTTATCTTTATTGTTCTTGGTTCACCTCGAGGTCACTAGCTCAAGGTCGGTACTGCTTGAGTAATACTGGTTTGATTCACTTATTTCTTTCATTTATACTTCATACTTTTTTATTATTAATTGGTATTGAACTAGATCACATATCTTTAAAATCACAAATCAAATTTAATTGTTACTCGTATTTTCGAGGTAAACAGTTTGGCGTCCACCGTGGGGCTAAAGATATAGTGATTATTTCATTACTAATTCTCATTACACACGTTATTTTTACACCTTTTCTTGTCAAGAATTTTTGATTCTCAGGCTGAAACATGTCTAGCTCACAAAACGCACCTGTTCATGACAACGAAGATCTTGGAGAAAACAATAATATAGGGGTCGGTGTACCACCAATTGTCCCACCTTCTTTTTTCACCCGAGGGGATATAAGGGAGTTTTTCCAATTTAAATGACATAAATCAAAATGGGATTATTTTATTTAATTCAGAGTCGCCACTTGTGATAATTTAGGGTGTCCCAAGTCACCGTTTTAGTTTAAATCCCAAATCGAGGAAAATCGACTTTATTTAAAAGTCTACGAAACCAGAAATTGTAGGTAAGAAATTCTGTTAATCTGGGAGAAGATGTTAGGCATTTTCAGGTTCCGTAGTTCTAGCACGGTCGTTTAACTATTAATAATTGACCTAATTTTCTGATTTATTACATGTTTTAAACCTATTGTGCATTTTTAAACTTTATAACCGCTTTTAGGATTTACGGAATTATTTGTTGAACAAGTTATGATTGTCGTACACTTGCCGTTTTGGAACACACCGCAAACCACACTACATGAAATGCACACGCGATTTGCGACATGTTTATTTTATTATTATTCGAAGTTGTTATGATCGGGTCACATGAAGTGCACACCCGAATTTGGGATTATATATCACGACTATGCCACGGGAACCGTACCCATAGTCACGATGATTTATTATAAACGCGCCTAAAGCAAACTATGAATGTTCAAAGTATTTTCTACATTAGTTACGAATGTTCAAAGTATTTTCCATACTAGTTTTGGTATCAATGTGAGGGCCATAGATTATGGAATTCATTTGTGAATGGCACACCTCAATTTATCTTAAAATTCAAAGGATTGTACTCAACTACTAGTAATTCATTAGTTAAAGCCGACATTTGTCAAGTTCGCGCAACAGCACTAGCTGAGCCCACTAAATTTCCCTTATTCAACTTCTTTTTGATAGGCCAACTTGATTTCTAATTGACAGAAACCATAATAAAAAGGGATGAAATGATTCTTGCCTTTTAAGTCATTATAAAACTGGCCTTACGTGGGGCTTTCCAGCCCAAAACATAAGATGAAACAATCCAAATGGCTATTCTGTCAAGGATGGCCCTGTAACGTAACTTTTAAATGATTGGGTCTATCATGAAATTATATTTAGCACAAATAAAATACACGAAATACACATTTGTGTAAAAGCTAGACGTTAGTTCATTTAGAGGTGAAAATCCAGAAAATGATTCAAATTTTAAAGTGAATAATACTATATGTAATTTTCAATACAAAGACGAGTTTAGATTAGAGTTCAAAGAAGTGAGCTCATAGCAAGGATCAAAATATTAGGGTTCAGCACCCAGGCCCATCCGCCTGGGCCTAGACTTGCTCAGGTGATTTTCAGATTGGGCCTTGTTGCAAGTCTGACCCAACTAGTATAAACTACATTTAGGCAATTCTATAACAATAGGTTGTACCATAACAAAGAACTCATGCTATTATGAACATAAACTATTAATCAAACATGATTAAACTCGAAATTAAAATATTTCAACCGTTCATTTACTATTGACAGTCCGTAAATTTACAACATGTTCCTAAATACAGCTATGTATCTGAAGGAAAAGAAAGAAAATTTTTAAAACAAAGGGTAACATTCTTCGTAACTTCGAGCCCTTCAACTGTGACAAAGCCCTTTAAACAAGCTTCAGCTTGCAAGAAATCAGCTATAGAGCTGTTCTTTACAAGCTAGCATGTGATTCCCAGTTCTAAGATTTCCTTCTCTTGTTGCCACTCCCATACAACAACAAAAAAACAAGATGCAAACTTCATTATTATGGGGAGTCCATTTAACATTGTAGAATCAGTACATAGATGATCTTCTATGGATAATGAAGAAGAGGAGGGAAAATTTCAGGGTGTATTGCCTTTGGAATTTCAAAGAACTCTGAAACAACGCCGTTGTTCGACGCAACACATCTGGGGCGGGGGAGGCGGCATCGGAGAAATCGTAGATGAAAGAAGAACAAATAATCACGGGTACGCGTGGTTTGCTTAGAAAAAAGGAGCGCTACACGTGTTTCCTTTTTAGGTTCCTTTTCATTGTATTCAAGGCATCAGAGAATTATAATGAACTTTTTCCCTTCTTCTTTAATTTATTTTCCTTCTTGGTTTCCTCGTTAACTTTGTAGCAGTCAAGCTGTTACATTTTGTATCACCGAATATCAAATATAATCGTCTGCTAAGAAGAAGTGACATATATGGGGAAATCCAGGTTTAACATAGTTTTCCATTGGGTATCTCTTATTCTCTTACTATCTGACTCTAAATCTATTTGATATTGTTCATTTTGTTTTGGAAAATCTATATCATATTACGTTTCTCAATATCGCGCTTGACTAATGCTTTATTAATGGGGCCTAATCCGTGCTTTGTGCGACTCCTCTGTAACCTTGTGGGATTAGGTATGTTTTTTTTAGGCGCGATCCTTATATATTGGCAAACAACTGTTTCTCTCTGCAGGGAAACGAAGAGATAACACCATCCATAAAAGTTGCCATATGTGAGTGAGGATCATTAATGTTTTGGTAGATGCTTTTACATGCATGATGTTTTCTCGGACAGGAAAGGATTTATTGGCTCAAGACAAGGTACTTTTTTTAACAAAATACAATCCAGTTATGTATTGTCCCTATAATTTAGGCTGGAAAAACATCACTGATTAATTTGCTTATCTGCACTATACTGTAAAAAATTAGCGTACTAGTGCAGTGATGAGAAATTTAAGGTGTGAAATTGATATAGGGAGCATTACTTTGGAGCAGTGCAAGTAGTGAAGTTACTTCTGCTAGCATGTTGTTATTGACTAAGAGGTATCTTCGAGCTATATGATACATGATTTTCCAACGATTGCTGATTTTACAGAAGTTGTAATGCACTGCCAGTATGTCTAATTACTAATGAGAACAGGATGTTTATGGTGTTCTCATGAAGGCTGATGTATCTGTGAAGATTTTTCCTCGGGGTTGCACGTGGCTTCCTTGTGTGGTACGAGAAGAAGATAAAGTGGCTGTGAAATCGGCCGAAGAGACTCAGCAAGTCATGGTGGGGTGTTTGGGAAGCATCTCAAGTAAGTGGCTCTCATTGCGATTATTCTTTACTTTGATTTGAATTGGTTCTGAATGTAAAATTATGTTATTGTATTGTGCTCTTTAGTATTGGTATCTTAACTAACTTAGCACATTTACTATTATATATGCATGTATAATTCACCTTAACCTTGCAAGTGTGGACCTTCAACACATTTTCATAGATCTGTACATGCTTTCACGTGTGAAAACTAGCCTAACCATGGCCGTGATGGTTAATGGTGTGCATGTTTATGGGACTTCAGCATAAACATAAAATGATTGCTTATCAGAATTCAGTATTTTACAAGTGCTATTTCAAATTAAAGTATTTCTAACTATCAAACTAAAATTTCAAACGCATTCCTTTTTTATGTAAATATTAAAAAGTACTTTCATTTCCATCCCCTTTTTCTTCGTGTAGAGTTTTTCGAATGTTAAACTCATACATTAAAGAATGTGTGATAAAGTATTTCGAAAATTAAGATATATTTAGTAAATTTTGTTATGTGAATTTGTAGAACAATCTTGATCCTACTTTAGCCAAGTGTATTTTTAGGTGGATCTACAGTAGATATGAGTCCCATGTTTTTCTGAATTTCTGATTTAAACATCGACCATATTTTCTCCCTATATTTCTTTTGATAAAAAACGTGAAGTTTTGTTAGCTACAAATAGCACCAAGAAATTGATAGGCACATCATAATACAACTGCTTCTAACATTAGGTTTTGCCATAGATTTTCGCCATAGATTTTACCAAAATAAATTTTGGGTTTTATTCGGCAAACACATGTTTGGACATAGATTTTGCCTACATTTTGGCAAAATTCCAATTCCCAAATCCCAAAACCAGCTCAATAGCTGGTTTTGGACCAAAATATCACTATTACATTTTTTTAAAAATGCCCCAAACTTTTGTATTTTATAAAAGAGCACACCATTTATTATTTTGTAATAATGTTGTTTCGTCTTCTCGATCATCTGATAGTGTATCATGTAGTTCATTATAAAATGATAATTATGTACCAGATTTATTTATGTTCAAGATTATAGTTTACGATAATATAATGAATATTATTGATAATAGTACTGTTGGATATTTGTGATAGGTTTTAGAACTTGTGGGTATAAGTCATGTTTCATATTTTTTCCAAAATAAATTTGGAATTATGTTTTGAAAACTGATGTCCAAACATATTTTCATCTTCAAACCAAACTTCACCCAAATCAGATTTTTCAAAACAAATTTGGGAATCTATGGCCAAACGCTAGCGAAGTACTCAATTCATGAGGTTTTCTAAATTTGCTCATGAGATCTCTATCATCTCATCCCCTTCATAAACATTTTTTAGGGGTTATGTCCTCCTTCATTGTAGTCTGCCATTGTTTTCAGTTGTATCTGTATCTTAACAAGGATTTGTTTGATATTTAAATAGGGTTTACATTTCTTTATTTTGATGAAGTAGCTTAGAGACTCATCACTGATTAAACTGGAATATATTAGTTAAACCTTACAAATATTGCACCAGTGTCACTCTATTATGCTTTCATTTAGTAATAAAATCGTTGTAAATTTTTCAAGAATTTCTTAATCTTTGCAGGCCTGGATAGATAATATATTCTTCGTTCTTGGCCCCCTTGAAGGATGTAAGATTAGTAGTGGCATTGTGCAATGTGAAGCTTTTAGTTACAATCAGTATATCTGGGGAATGAGTGAATATTTTGTTTTCTGTGTTGAGTGCACTTTTTGTGGTTCTCGTGCCTGCATTTAGCAGGGGAAAATTTCTATTTTGATGCGTTAAAAATTGTAATCATGCTGCTTCAACTCTACCAGAATTAATTTGTTGTTTATACTCTTTTATATATGTTGTGAGGATTGAAACGATGCGATAAAAGAAAATTCAGAATAGTTTGTAGTACTTTATTTAGCATTACATAGGAGCGGGTAGTTAATAAAGTTTGTTGTTACCTTTTTCACTGTTCGGATAGGAAACTTTTACTATCCCGTATGAAGTGAATTGAGGTCAAGAAAAAAAAAAACTATGCAGATTGCAATAAAATGTTGCGTCGGTGGTTAGAGAAATTTCTTCTCTATGATCAAAGGTTTCAGATTAGATATCAATAATGATACAGCCTTTTGCTGGAACAAGAAGCAAGCTGAATAAATGCTGTAAATGAGCCTGTGAATTGGTTGCCATTGAGGCACCACTTTTGTGTATTATTTTTACACATATATATTGTTAAGAAAACGGCATATGTTACAACGCCTCATTTTGCACATATTATAAAAAAGATTCATATTATAGAGAACTCTTCATTATGGTTTATGCATCTTAATAACATGTCGGGCTCGTGCAATGCACGGGCATCATCCCTCTCGTCTTTTTTAAACAGCCACTCATGACCAAACTTTAGAAAGACACATACATTTATTAGTATGTTAAAAATAAAAGGTGACGTGGTATCAAACCTCCTCGTGTCCTCCTATGATAACACTTATGAAAAGCAAATTTTCTAATTTAATAGTATTGTTTTCTAAAAGGGAAATAAAGGAAAAGTAGATCCAAGAAAGCATGATGCTCACAAGTACTTTGGGAAAATTGTTCTTCCAAGCTACCGTACGTTGCCAGTTGCTATATGACGTATCCAATTTCCTCGAAGTTACCAATCTTATCAAAGATAAAAACGTTTCTATGGCTGTTATACCATGATAGATTACCCATCAAAGCTTATCTCACTAATATTTATTTAATTCAAAATAGCACTTGCACTTGCATTTAGAAATCTCCTGATATATATACGCACCATCCAAAGGACTAAGAATTGGTTATATACTCTTATTAGCTCTAAGAATGTAATCCTCCCTTATAATTTAAGCCCCAAAATATACTTGCCGCTGCGCTTGTGGAATATTTGGTTAACTCGTAACAAGAATAATTTTAATTCTTCAAAGGAACGAGTTAATATTTCCATAACAACCTACCAAGCTACTGAGTACGCTTATTTGACAGCCTATTACCATAAATCTAAGAAACAACGTTTGCCTAACCTTGGATGGCAACCTCCTGCGCAAAATAATTATAAGCTAAATACTGACGGAGCCTATGGTACAAATGCAAGTGGAATTGGAGGATCAATTCGAGATTCAAAGGGTGAATGGATACTAGGGTTTGCACAAGCTATCCACAAGGGATCGTCGCTATCAACGAAGCTATATGCTTTAATTACAGGACTTAAATTGGTCTTACAACATAATTTATTACCTATTCAAGTTGAGTTAGATGCTCAACATATTATTACATTGTTGCAAACTGACAACCTTCCATTTGCCAATATGCTAAATGACTGTAGGTACCTCCTCCACCAGCTTAATAATCTGCCTGTCCAATATGCGTACAGAAAGCAGAATGCTGTAGTAGACCACTTAGCAAAGGCAGCCAAATGTTTTGTTCAGACTTCTGATCCATATGTCTATCCTGTAGCACCACTTTTTGTGAACCAAGCGTTGGAAGCTGATAAGAAACACTTTTTGGATGTAAATATAAGCCAGAGAACAGGCTCTATTCCCAGTTCCTATGTAAACAATATGATGCATGTTAATGGTAGTAGTAGTATTAATGTAGCTAGTGTATTACAGTATGGCACTAAAGCCACTTGTAATGGAAGACTCTCTGTACGCAGTACTTAAATATATATAAATATTATCTTTTGTACCAAAAAAAAAAAAAACAGAGCCTTCTGCATATAAACTATAAAGTAACTTTTGCCATTTATAAAAAAAAAAAAAAAAAAAAATAAAACCTTAGGCTCTGATACTAAGATTGTCACACCCCGACCTCGGGGAGCGCGACCGGCGCTCAATCAAGATAATCCAGTCAAGCAAGCCTGCTAGNAAAAAAAAAAAAAAAAAAAAAATTAAAAATAAAAATAAAAATTGCCATTTATCTGATTTACCAATGTCTAGAAGAGCAGGCCCATACTGCATTCATCATTGTTCGATTCACAATATCTTGGCTTTTCCAAGCACTTCTATAGACCACTCATGCTTCAATTTTCTTGTCACTACATGAACCTTCATAGTTAGCTCATTGTAAATAGCCCATAGGTGTTAGATTTCTTAAAAAATATTTTTAAATGCTGAAATTGAGTTGATAAATATACAACTTGTGTTTTTATTTGAAAAGAAAATGCTGATAAGAAATTCTTTTATTCAAATAACTAAAATACTCTTAATTTTTTCGAAAAAATATATAAATTTAAAAGAAATTTTATAAAGAAAAGGAATAACAATAGATATAGAGTAGAGAGGAAGTTAGTGGCCAGTTTTATTTTTGAGAATGTTTTTTCCTGTGTTAAAGAGGTTCAACAATACATATATAAAATTATACAAATTAAATGGTTAAATTTAATTTGAAGGGGAAATTCCTTCCGATTCAAATGAACTCCTTCCTCTAAGGTAGGTCCACTCTTGGCCACAAATTACAACCTCAGAATTTACATCCTACTCTTGACTACTGAACCAACAAACTGTTAGGGTTGATTGTGCTCCTAATTCTTCACAGTAAAACTCAAAAGAAGATATTATTATTTATTTACAGCCATAATGTTCTATTGAAACACATGATGTGCACATCAAGACATCCAGACACATATGTTCTACAGATATTTAGAGTGTGCATGCACTTGTAAATATATCAACATTTGACAGTGAAAGGTACAAAGAATTAAATGCAGTACCTAAATTGCACACGACGTGTGTAGCAACCATTCTCACATCTTCCATCTTGACTAGCCTCTTCTATAAGCCATACATATTTAAGTTACAGTTATCTAGGGTGGCAAACGGGTGGGTCGGGTCGGATATGGTCGAGTAAAAAATTAATAATACAAAAAACGGATAAATTATTCGACCCGATTCATATTTAATACGGATAAAAAACGGGTTAACTGACAGGTAATATGAATATTCATATTATCCATTGCTTCTTGAATATGATCACTTTTGGGAGAATTTCTAGTCTCCTAAACTTGAAGAACACCCAATTTGAGGTTTTGCAAATGTAAAAATGAGATCCATTAGTTATCCATTTTCTACTTGGATAATATGATTCTTATTCATATTTAATCGTTTTCAAAAAGTTTATTTTTCAACCAATTTTTTTAATGAATAATTACTTTCTTTTAACCATTTTGCTTACCAATGATGTTGGACCCTAGTTATATTGTTCATATTATAGATGTTTTAAATAGTTCTAAATGCGAAGGAGTGTAAGAGGTCCTCGTTGTGCGATGGAAAATATTCTACTTATATGGTCTTGAACAATCCTCACATTATTAATTAATTGTTGAAGTTGATTTAAATCCAATGTCGATTTCTTATCAGCAAAAACACAACTAAAAACAGCCTATTTCCGACCGAAATATTCTGACGGAAAAAAGTAGTCGGAAATTTCCAATGGAATCGGTCGGAAAAAATGCAAAAGAATATATTTTTCAATTTTTAATAATAGTTACGACTAATATTCCGTCTATATCCGTTGTATATTTTGGCGGAAAATTCCACGTCACTATTAGCGACCAATTTGGTCGGAAATAATTAAAAAAATAAAAAGTAGCAACCGATTCAGTCAGAATGTTTTAGTAAAATGAGGGTTGACTACTTTGACCAAAGTTCCGATCGAATCAGTCGGAATATTTCTTTAAAAACCCATCTGCGACCCCATTCTTTTTCCTTTCCCTCTTTTCTTCCTTCTCTCTTCTTCTCTCACTCAAACTTCCCCTCTCCCTCCCCC